GATACATGAGACTAAATGGGCGGCTCCTGTCTGGAGGTGAGATGAGAAGGCAGAGAGGGTCAGGAGCTGGTTGAATGGACATGGGGAGTCACAGGTGGAGAGGAGGAATGTGCTGTCACAGTATAGGGAGAGCAATTAGGGTCACATAGCAATGTATGTATAAATTTTTGTGTAAGAGACTAACTTGAATTGTAAACTTCCACTTAAAGTACAACAATAAAATTTAAAAAGAAAAAGAATAAAGGGCAACAGTGGTAACTACTATAGCTTAGACAATCCTTGGCAATAGTAATAACAAACAATAATTTACAAATGGACAGATAAGTAGATAGATAGGCCAAGAGCTGTGGAAGGATGTAAAGGAACACACTCACCAGAAAATACAGGTTTGGTGGTAGATGTTTCCACATACATGATTGTAGGTGCGGTTCTTATAGAACACACAAGGTGTAAAGTCAAGGAAACCTCTTAGACATAACCAAACACCTCATGGGATGAAGTTCTTAGGCTAAAAGACAAAAAACCATAGACTCGGGGGACATGTATGTCAATTTGAACAACATAGTACATAAAGTCAATGTTCTGCATCCTACTCTGTTGAGTAGCCTCTGAGGTCTTAAAAGGTTGTGAGTGGCCATCTAAGATACAACTACAGCTCTCTTCCAGTCTGAAGTGAGGGAGAGTGAAGGAGACCAAGGACTCAAGGGAAAAATTTGTCCAAAGGACTAATGGACCACATGAACTGCAGCCTACATGACCCTGAGACCAGAAGAACTAGATGGTGCCCAGCTACCACTACAATATGCTCTCACTGGGATCATAACAGAGGGACCGGGACAGGGTGGGAGAAAATTATAGAACGAAAAATCAAATTCACAAAAAAGACCAGCTTGCTAGTCTGACAGAGATTAGAGGAACCAGTGAGACCATGGCTTTAAAACACCCTTCTGGCCTGGAATTGAAGTCATTCCCATAGACCACCTCACAGATAAATAATAGACAAGCACATAAGATAAACAATAACACCCAAGAGGAACGTACTCCTTAGAACCATCAATTATAAGATGAGAAGGCAGGAAGGGGTAGATAATCAGGGCAAAAGAAAATAGGGAAATCAGGGCGGAAATGGGGAGAGTGCTGACACATTGTGGAGAATGAAACCAAGGTCATGAAACACTTTATGTGCAAACTATCAAATGGGAAACTACTTTGTTCTGTAAACTTTCACCTAAAGAAGATAAAAAAGTTTTAAATGACAAATTTTATGTTACATATATTTTACCACAATAATTTTTTTTTAAATGTAGTAATATCATATCTTCAAAATTTCTGCATGATGGGAGAGGCAGGCACCTTTTTTTGTTGTTCTGTTTTTCAGGAGAGAAAACCAAAATGCGGACAAGTAACCTCTCCAGGGACACACAGCTAGTAAGTTCCAAGCTGAGAGGAAAGCATGGGTTTGCTGATTCCCAGCCATGACCCCTGCCCACACCACTTTCATTCTTACAGCTAACTTACCTCTCCCAACTCCAAAAGAAGGGGTGACCCAGCAAGTTACTCAGTGATCTCTGCAAGTTTTGCCCAAGGCAAAACAGGCGATAAATGAGATCCCTAGATTCTTCATCTGGAGAACGTTGAACCACATTTTCATCCCTTTGATCCTCCAGCTCCCCAAAAGGGATGCCTCCCTTCTCTACCACATATAGGACCAGCCGTCCAAGGGCCTGCACAGAAGACACAAATCAAGCCACAGGTGCTTATAGATTCTTTCTTTATTCAAGTGAGCTCGGAAGGTGTGGTGCAGGCTATAAACCATGGAAGACTGAGGAATCAGGAGGAGTCTATAGACTTGTGAGGGAGAGAAGACACCAGTTTGTGCCTGGAGAACTCTTCAAGGCAGTCTATGGTCCACAAAATTTAAGTTTCTGAGGAGCAAAAGGTAACCCTGGGCTAGAGTTTGTCAGGGCAGATTGCTTGGAGAAATAGGGATGTGAGGTGGGTCTTAAAGTATGGATAGAATTTAGATAAACAGGAAAAAGGGAGAATGTTTTAAACAAGGGGAATGCCAGGAGCCTGTCTCGGAACCAGACCTTTGGGCCCAAGGCTGTAGCAGGCAGCAGATAAGGGGGCCAGTCCAGGTTTCAGGGAGAGGATATTGTGATAGCCCACGGGTTAGGCCATGGCAGAGAGGAAAGACAAAGAAGGAGGCCAGCTTAGGAACTCTCTGCACCAGTCAAGACACAGTCAGGAAAGGAGCTCATATCTGAAACCACCAAATCACGAAGACCAAGATTTAAAGCTAGTAGAGGCAGGAGACCAAACACATGGAGGGAGAGCACTTGCCCACTGGATTGAGAACTCAGCACCCTGGGGAACTCTTCCCCAAGACAACCACCCTGACAGGGCCTTGATCTGCAGAGGGTAGCCGTCTCCCCTCAGGAGGGCACCCACAGCTATTTCAGGGTCTTAACCTTTTGTCCAAGCTTAGTCTCTTTCAAGCTGGGGACTAGCTCCATCCTTCCCAAGTGTTTTCAAAGGATCTAGTATTTGGCCCCTTGGAAGCTCAGCACCCACGTCTGATGGGAGTGGGAAGAGAAATCTCATTTACTTTGTTGTTAATCAGAAGATATCTTGTTGTAGAAGAGCCTGGAGTGGTATGTTCAATTTATTTACTTATTTAGCTAATGGAGAAAGAGGGAGATCCAAAGAGAAACAAAAAGAGGCCAAAGCAACTGCCAACTCCACTCAGACCCAGCCTTTATACCTTCTCCTCTCCACACTGAAAGCTCGACCCCCACGAAGAGGCCCAGTGAAATGTGGTTGTCTGCAGGGGAGTGAGGAAAGTGAGCAAGACTGGGGGGAGCCTTGAACCTCCCAAAACATCACCAATTACTTTTATGATTGTTGTTGTTGTTCTTAGCTGCCATCAAGTCGTCCCCCTACTCGTGGGGACCCCATGCACAATAGAACGAGACCGTTGTGATCCATAGGGTTTTCATTGGCTAATTTTTCAGGAGTAGATCACCAGGCCTTTCTTCCTAGTCTGTCTTAGTCCAGAAGCTCCACTGAAACCTGTTCAGCATTATAGCAACATGCAAGCCTCCACTGACAGACAGATGGTGGCTGCACATAAAGTGGACTGGCCAGGAATCAAACCTGGATCTCCCACATGGAAGGTGAGAATTCTAGCACTGAGCCACCACTGTCCCCATCACTTTTATGATTAGAGGGTGAGTTTTTTGTTTGTTTGTTTGTTTTAAATTTCCATTTCTCAGCTTATAAAAAAGAAAGAAGAAAAAAAAAAAATACTGCTGTGTTGGCCCAGGGCTAGAGTTGAAGTATCCCTAATTTGACACAACGAAGTCCCTGTTAAGGGAATGTATCTGGCAGTATTCCTAAACCCTAAATTCATTGTTAAAATCAGAAATATTGAATGTTCCTTCCTTGCTCGTTAAAATAGGAATATTCTCTCATAGAGTGTAGAAAATAAGGTAAGGAACAAATAAAGGAGGAAGCAGAAAGACAAAAAAGTAAACTGGATTTTAGAAATTACCTGTAGATCTGTCTTGATTTTCTGTGGATCTCCAGTCCACTTGATGCTTTTATCAAAATCTGCCAGGCGAACAGCATTCTTAGAATCTAAAGGATAGTTTGCAGAGGTGCACTGAAAATCCTCATTCTCCATGTTGTGAGAATCAATTAAATAAATATGTAAAACAATGTACAATCTGGCATCTCTGAAGAAGGCAGTAACAAAGCTTACATCTCTATTGCTGTTTACTTCTCAAAAACTGTCAAATGCACTGTTTCATGGGATTTATTAGGTTTCTACCAAGAGTAGGATTTACATTTTATTTTTTCCAGGCCAGGGGGCAGGAGCGGGCGGGTGGAATAGGGTAGGATAAATTAAACCAGCTCCCCACTTACACAATCCCTAGGGGAAAACAACACAGGTTTACAAAGGACCTGGCAAGAGTGAGGGTTACATCCTACAGCTAAAGTACAACTAAACAACAATGCTCCAAATCCAAGACCATCTTAGCAGAGCATCCCACCCAATAGAGCCAACCAGCCACAGACCACTGTTCCACTTTAAATGGACATCATGAATCAACTATGCGCTTGTCATAAGTCACTGCTTCTTTGTCCACTTTATGTCTACCTTAGAATCTTCCTTCCTTGAAGGAAGCCACTGAGTCCTCAGAAAGAGGGATACATGGATGAGATAGGCCTCTGGGGTCAGGAACAAGATAAAAGAAGGGCAAGTGGGTGATTTGTCCTCTATGAGGTGGTCACCTGCTTCTGGCTTGAATGAGTCTCAGAAGGAAGGCTGGGTAACCCCAAATAGAGTAATGGCTTCTAGACTCTTTCTGATTTTGAATTTAGACCTGAAAATTTAAGGGAATCCAGAATCTAACAAAAATGAATTTACTGAATTATTCAACGGGCTTAAATCTCAAAGCTCCTCTATATGCCAGGTATCTGCTTCTGCTTAGACCTCTAGACAAGTACTGGGCCATTGCTGAGCACCTATGGTGTACCAGGTGACTTGTTCACTTAAGGCATTGCACTTAGACCTCATAACAACATTTTAAAGCAGGTTTGTTGTTGTTATTGGGTGCCATTGAGTCAATTCCAACTCTCAGTGAACCTATAGGATGGAATAGAACTGCTCAATAGGGTTTCCCAGGCTGTAATCTTTACCAGAGCAGATCTCCAGGTCTTTTCTCCCATGGAGCCACTGGATGCGTTCGAACCACCAACCTTTCAGTTAGCAGTTGAGCTTGAGAGCCTAAGCACTGCACCACCAGGGCTCCTTGAAGCAAGTATTATCAGTCCCAAAGGAGGACACCAAGGCTCACAGATTTAAGTGACTTGTTTGAGGTTACAAAGCTAAAAAGTTGCAGTATTGGGCTTCACACATCCATAAATACTGCTAAAGCCCGGGCTCTTTCTACTGTACCATGTTGCCTTCTGGGACTTTGCATTCTACTCCTCTTGCTTCCTTTAATGCTGTTTTTGTTAATCTTGTATTTGTATTGCACCAGTGGATGCTGACTTGTCCTGCCTGCTTGGAGTCTGTATCTTCACGGTGATGTCTCTTGCCTTGACACCCCCAATTCTGACTTCAGTTTTGCCACTGAGTTTCACCTAAATGAACTCACCTTCAGGATTCTCTCACTTGCAGAATACTCTAGGAATCCAAATTTCTGGAGCTGGCTCCATGCATGACATACCTTCATATCTGTATTTTGCCCAGGACAATATAAGGCGAGCCTGGTACTCCGCTGGCATCCGCTGAACTCCATGTGGGCCAAGGGAACTCAGTTATAACTGGTAGCCAGGAGAGACCACACTTTATGAATTTATTGCAATAGTCTTCAGATTGAATAATCCACATGTGAAAATTTACCTTAGCCCTTTCCTAACTGCAAAGGAAAATGTTTCCTTTGTAAACAAAGACCCTACAATGTCTAAGGGAGGATTGGGTACAGGGACTCACCTATTAAGATGTTTTGTGGGTGCAGATCCTGGTGAGTGTAACCATTCTGGTGTAGTTCTTGAAGAGCCTTAAATATAGATAACAGAGCATTCTGGGCAAACTCATCTTCCTCCTTTTCACCTTCTTCTTTTTCCGCAGCTTTTTCCCCTCTGTGCATGTCAAAGTGCTCCTGCAGGGTTCGTTCACAGAGGGCAAGGCACACATACAAACAGTCCTTTAGGCTCTCGGTCTCATAGAACGTCACCAAGCAATTGCTCCCTCGGCTGAGTGCCAGACAGGAGAGTTCGTTCTGTGCCTGTTTGCTGTCTTTGCAGAATCGCTTCACAGCTGCCTCTTGCCCATTGTAGAGTCCCAGGTAGACGCCCCCTTCAGAAGTGTCAGCAATTTTATATTCTTCAACAATAAAGATCTTGAGTTTGCCAATCATAGGGCGGTACATCCCATGGAGATGTTTCAGGGCCACCCTCCAACGTGAACTCTGAGGCTCCCAGTCCTCAGCAGGAGGGTGAAAATCTTCTCTGGCTCCTTCTCTGAGAAGAAACTGTACAAGGGGATAATTGTAATCCCGCTTCGCTATCATAACAAGATCCCCACAATCCAGGCTGGCTCCGTGGTGGTGCAGCAAACAGACAATTTCCATCAGTCCCAGTTTGACTGCAAACAGTAGTGCTGTGTTGCCCTCGCTGTCTGTGTCATTAATTTCTATATGTTTTTGTTCCAGAAGCATCTGCACCAAACCCAACTCCTTCGCTTCCACCGCCAAGATCAGAGGTGTTTTCTTTCCTTCTCCTCTCACTTTGACATCTGCTCCGCGGTCCAGCAGAAGGCGAGTGATGGTCTCAGCAGTAACGGCCTTCACCTTCCCATCGCGACAGCTCTGAAGCACATGGATCAAGGCGTTTCTGCCCATATTATCACGGGCATTAACATCTGCCCCCATCTCATCAAGTAGGATTGTCAAGACGTTTTGGTGGCCTTTTTCCGCAGCATCTATGAGAGCTGTGGCCCCTCCTTTCCCAAGCTTCTTTTGATCCTCCTTTGTCTTTCGCCTCAAATTCACATCTGCTCCTTTCTCATGCAGGAATCTTAAGGCGTCTACTCTACCATAGGCCGCGGCTTCCATGAAAGCTGTGAAGCCATTTGAATCATACTCATTGACTTCTGATCCTTTGGAAAGGAAAAGTTGTAGCAAATTCACATCTCCCACAATCCCAGCGAGGATGAAGGGAGTGGCCCCATTGTGCTTCCTCATACAAGGGTCGGCACCGTGATGAAGCAGAATATGTACAATGTCCTCCCTGCAATGTTGCACTGCGTTATGCAAGGGCGTCCAGCCCCCTTTCCACTGGAAATTGACATCAGCCCCTCTTTCCAGCAACTGCTGGACCTTCTCCACATCTCCTCTTTCAGTAGCTTCAATCAGCTGATGATTCTGTTCCTCTGCAGCCCTCCCACAGCTGGAGGGCGGGCGTCTGTCCTGGGGGGTGTTATGGCACTTGGTCTCCATGATGGTAAATGCCACTGGCTAAACCTTTTGCCTTTTCTTTGAGAAAATGAAAGTATACCTTCTTTGGACTTGATGAAAAAGGCATGGAGGGTTAATAGGGATTATCAGGGTTAAGAGGGATTATCTTGCTGAAGACTAGCAGTATGAGGAGGGAAAAAGCTCTTCCAGATGTCTGACATTCCACCTGGAGATAAAAGAGATACTGTATAATTTTAGAACGATGGGAAAACATTTAAATCATAGAAATTAATTTTACTAGCAACACTTTCAAAATACATCCACTTATTCACTATACAACTGTTTTATTATGGGATATTTTGAATATACACAAATTAAAAATAATAAAATTATTATGCTATAGTCCCACTGCCTAGAAGAAAGAGGCATTGTTAATATTTTAGTATATTTCTATACTTCTTTTTTAAATATCTGGGATAATGCTGTGTAAATAATTTTGTATCCTACTTCCTTCCACCTAATGTCATAATAATAATTTCCTATGTTATTACCAAGTCTTTAAAGCATTTGTTTTTAATTTTCATTTACTCTTTTTTTTTCTTATGATTTGGATTTTTTTTCACATCTTTTTTCTTTTATTGTGCTTTAAGTGAAAGTTTACAATTCAAGTTAGTTTCTCATACAAAAATTTATGCATACATTGCTATGTGACCCTAGCTGCTCTCCCTATAATGTGACAGCACACTCTTCCTTTCCATCCCGGATTTCCCGTGTCCATTCAACCAGCTCCTGTCCCTTTTTGCCTTCTCATCTCACCTCCGAACAGGAGCTGCCCATTTAGTCTCATGTATCTACTTGAGCGAAGAAGAAATCTCTTCACGAGAATCATTTTATGCCCCATAGTCCAGTCTAATCTTTGTCTGAAGAGTCAGCTTCGGAAATGGTTTCAGTTCTCGGCTAACAGAGTCCGGGGGCCATTTCTTCCAGGGTCCCTTCGGTCTCAGTCAGACCATTAAGTCTGGCCTTTTTCCTAGAATTTGAGTCCTGCACTCCACTTTTCTCCTGCTCCGTCAGGGACTCTCTCTGTTGTGTTCCTGTCAGGGCGGTCATTGGTGGTAGCTGGGCACCATCTAGTTCTTCTGGTCTCGGGCTGCTGGAGTCTCTGGTTTATGTGGCTCTTTCCATCTCTTGGGCTAATATTTTCCTTGTGTCTTTCGTGTTCTTCATTCTCCTTTACTCCAGGTGGGTTGGGACCAATTGATGCATCTTAGATGGCCTCTCACTAGCTTTTAAGACTCCAGACGCCACTCACCAAAGTGGGAGTGCAAAACATTTTCTTAATAAACTCTGTTATGCCAGCTGACCTAGTGTCCCCTGAAACCATGGTCTCCGGACCCCCACCTCTGCTACATTGTCCCTCAAAGTGTTTGGTTGTGTTCAGGAAACTTCTTAGCTTTTGGTTTAGTCCAGTTGTGCTGACTTCCCCTGTATTCTGTGTTGACCTTCCCTTCACCTAAGATAATTCTTATCTACTATCTAGTTAGTGAATACCCCTCTCCCTCCCTCCTAACCCTCGTAACCATCAAAGAATGTTTTCTTCTGTGTTTAAACCTTTTCTTGAGTTCTTATTATAGTGGTCTCCTACAATATTTGTCCTTCTGCAACTGACTAAATTCACTCAGCATAATGCCTTCCGTATTCATCCATGTTATGAGATGTTTCACAGATTCATCGTTGTTATCGTTGCGTAGTATTCCATTGTGTGGATATACCATAATTTGCTTATCCATTCGTCCGTTGTTGGGCACCTAGGTTGTTTCCATCTTTTTGCTATTGTGAACAGTGCTACAACGAACAGGAGTGTGCATATATCTATTCATGTCACAGCTCTTATTTCTCTAGGATATATTCCAAGGAGCGGGATTGCTGGATAATATGGTACTTCTATTTCTAGCTTTTTAAGGAAGCACCAAATCGATTTCCAAAGTGGTTGTACCATTTTACATTCCCACCAGCAGTGTATAAGTGTTCCAGTCTCTCCACAACCTCTCCAACATTTATTATTTTGTGTTTTTTGGATTAATGCTAGCCTTGTTGGGGTGAGATGGTATCTCATTGTAGTTTTGATTTGCATTTCTCTAATGGCTGATGATCATGAGCATTTCCTCATATATATGAGTAGCCACCTGAATGTCTTCTTTGGTCAAGTGTCTGTTCATATCTTTGCCCATTTTTTAATTGGATTATTTGTCTTTTTGTGGTTGAGGTTTTGCAGTATCTTGTAGATTTTAGAGATTAGATGCTGATGGGATTTGGGGTAGCCAAAAATTTTTTCCCAGTCTGTAGGTTATCTTTTGACTCGTTTGGTGAGGTCTTTTGATGAGCGTAAATGTTTGATTTTTAGGAGTCCCAGCTATCTGGTTTCTCTTCTGGTGTTTGCGCATTGTTACTTATGGTTTGTATTCTGTTTATGCCATGTATTAGGGTTCTTTAGCGTTGTCCCTATTTTTTCTTCCATGGTCTTTATCATTTTAGATTTTATATTTAGGTCTTTGATCCATTTAGAGTTAGTTTTCGTGCAAGTGTGAGGTATGAGTCTTGTTTCAGTTTTTTGCAGATGGATATCCAGTTATGCCAGCACCAGTTGTTAGAGACTATCTTTTCCCCCAATTAACGGACTTTGGGCCTTTGTCAAATATCAGCGGCTCATAGGTGGATGAATTTACGTCTGGATTCTCAGTTTTGTTCCACTGGTCTATGTATCTGTTGTTGCACCAGTACCAGGCTGTTTTGACTACCATGGCAGTATAATAGGTTCCAAAATCAGGTAATGTGAGGCCTCGCATTTTGTTCTTCTTCTTGAGTAATGCTTTATTTATCCAGGGCCTCTTCCCTTTCCGTATGAAGTTGGAGATTTTGCTCCCCATCTGATTAAAAAATGCCATTGGAATTTGGATCAGGATTGCACTGTATCTGTAGATTGCTTTGGGTAAAACTGACATCTCCATAATGTTGAGTCTTCTTATCCATGAGCAAGATATGTTTTTCCACTTATGCGGGTCTCTTTTGGTTTCTTGCGGTAGTGTCTTATAGTTTTCTTTGTATAGGTCTTTTACATCTCTGGTTAGATTTATTCCTGAGTATTTTATCTTCTTGAGGGCTATTGTAAATGCTATTGATTTGGTGATTTCCTCTT